CAGAGGAGCAGGAAAGCTCCTCTGATGCTGCTTGGCCTGCTGTGTTCATCCAGCTCTACACCTTGTTATCTCAGATTCTCCAGCATCGGCAGTTCCTACTATCTCTATATCCCACTGGAACCTCTTTGCATCCTCACAGCTTACTTCATATCATTGGTAAACTTGGATACAATATATCAGTGCTATGTAAGCTATTTATATCAATTATAAAATGTTGAGGCCTAAGTATTGACCCTGCCAACAGTTCACAGGTTACTCCCTGCCATCCTGTATTTTCTTTTTCCATTTTCCATTTACCAACTGTCCTCCTCATAAGCCTGAGGAAACAATAGGAAAAATATACCAGGAGCCGGGGAGAAGCATGAACAGTGAGGAATCTTTTCAGTTGATTAATTTTAAACAAGTGCAGCTGTTACAATCTCATACATTACTGTTGTCTGTTCCTGCAGCGAGAGGGCACTTTGATGGGCACTGCAATTGGAACCTGCTTTGGTTATTGGCTGGGTGTTTCCTCCTTTGTCTACTTCCTGGGCTATTTATGTAACGCACAGATTACAATGTTGCAGATGCTGTCTCTACTGGTAAGTGATGTGGGATGGGAAATTAAAACATTTGCGTTTTAATCAGAAAATGATTGAGTTGCTTTGTCAATCACCTCTTCTGAAGGAGGTTACCTTTTCTGAGATCTGATTCATTAGGCAGGGCCTTATGTCTCAGACCACAGTCAAATGATTATTTGTAAAGTTTGAGAGTTAACATTTGATTACCAAAGCACATTGACATCATTGGCAAGATTGCACATCCCAAGTTACCCTGAAAAAAGTGCCCTAGACCTGCTGTGTCTGTTGTGTCACAATGCTTTTAGGAAGGGAGTTCCAGGATTTTGACCCAGTGACAATGAAGAAAAAGCAATGTTAGAGTGTGTGTGACTTGGAGGGGAACATGCATTTCATGACGTTTCCAGACTGCTCTTGTCCTACATAATAGAGGTCAAGGGTGTAAGTTGGAAAAACCTTGGTGAGTTACTGCAGTACACCTTGTCGATAATACATAGTGCTGCCTCTGTAGTAGTGGAGGGAGTGAGTCTCTTCAAGTAATATGGATTGTCTACCGATTAAGTAGATTACTTTGTCCTGGATGGTGCTGAGCTTCTTGAGTGTTGTTGGAGCTGTCAAATTTGATCAAATGCTATCTTGACATCGGGGCAGCCATTCTGAAATTCAGCTTTTTTTTTTTGAACAAAACTCGTAAGGATTACAGTCAGGTGATTCTGCCAGAACTGTTGTGTAAATATCACTTGCTAGCACTATCAATGACATCTTCCATCACTTTGACTGAGAGTCTACTGATGGAGAAGCAATGGTCAGAGTAGATTTAGCCTGCTTTTTGTGCACCAGTCATAACAGCAAAATTTATGGTTAGTATAAAACTTGGAAGGATAATGAACTGTTAGGACGATAGAACAGAACTTCGAAGGGAATTTGGCAGAGTGGTGGATTGGCTGAATGAATGGCAGATGAAATTTAGAAAAGGGAAATGTGAAGGGGGAGGTGATGGCCCAGTGGTATTATTGCTGGACTGTTATTCCAGAGACCCGGGTTCGAATCCCACCACGGCAGATGGTGGAATTTGAATTCAATAAAAATATCTGGAATTAAGAATCTAATGATGACCATAAATCCACTGTCAATTCACTAATGTCCTTTAGGGAAAGACACTGCCAACGTTACCTGGTCTGGCCTACGTGTGACTCCAGACCCACAGCAACGTGGTTGACTCTGAACTGCCTTCTGGGCAATTAGGGATGGACAATGAATAAAACAAGTGCTTTATTTTGTTCGGAGCGATGCAAAAAAAGCTATGAGTCAATGGTGGAGCACAGGGATCTGGTGTATTTGCATAAATCATTAAAGGTGGCAGGGTAGGTGAAGAGAGCAGTTAATAAAACATGCAATACTTTGGATTTCTTAATAAAATATAGTTTAATAAAGGGCATTTTAATAAAAGGCATAGTGTAGAAGAGCAAGGAGGTTATACTAAACTTGTATAAAACACTGGTTCAGCCTCAGCTGCATTATTGTGTATCATGCTTTAGGGAGGGTGTAAAGACATTGGAGAAGATACAGAAAAGATTGATGAGAATGATTCCGGAGATAAGGAACTTCAGTTATGGAGATTGGACAAATTGGGACTGTTGTCCTTTAAATGGCTGGGAAAGATTTGATGGAGGTTTTCAAAATTGTTGGAAGACTCTGGACTGAATAGAAAGAGATAAATTGTTCCCATAAAAAGAATTGAAAACGGCCTAGAGTGGGGGGCGGGGTTGGACATAGACATAGATTTAAGGCAATTGGCAAAAGAAGCAAAGGTAACATGAGGAAAAAAAAATTCACACACTGAGTGATTAGAGTCTGAAATGTACTGCCTAACAGTGTGGTAGTGGCAGGTTCAAACAAGGTATTTGAGAAGGAAATTGATAATAACCTGAAAAAGGAATTTGCAGGCTACAGAGAAAAGGCATCGGAGTGGCACTCAGTAAATTGCGCCTTGAGAGATCCAGCACATGCACAACGGGGCAAATGGCCTCTTCTGTGTTGTAATCATTCTATAACCATTCACTGCCTTATCAGGAAGATAACTGATGGTTGGATGTCCCACAGTGACATTCTGTTTCCACAAGTCAGGTGTCTAAAAAAAATCGGGTGATGTAACAATTCAAATGATGAATGATTTAATCATTGTCTTGTATGGAATTATGTGGAATCACTGTTGCTCTATCTTGAATTGATTCTACTGTCTTGTTCACAGGGTTATGGTCTGTTTGGACCCTGCATTGTGTTGCTTGTCACCTACAATGTTCATCTCCATTCCCTTTTCTATCTATTGTGGCTTATCGTTGGAGGACTGTCCACACTCAGAATGGTAGGAGATTGTTCCCTATAATTATGCCCAGGAAATAGTTAAATTGTGATCTCACTATTACACGCATGTAGCGACATTGGAGAAAGTTTTTTTTTCACTATGGTTCATAACAAAACCAAAATTGAGCTGTAATACCTGTCCAAAGATTGAACAGCATAGGGCTTTTTCTGTAGATAACTAAAGGCTAAAGGGTAATTGAATGGACATCTTCAAACTTACAAAGTGGTTCAGCAGAGGAAATGTAGCGAAGATGGGGGAATCCAAAACTGGCAGTTGTTATATGATGGCCATGGCAAAGAATTCCGGCAAAAACTCTTCGCCCAGATGTTAGAAGTGGAACTCTTTGTCACTACTCTTGTGGCAAAGCCAAATATGTACATGAGGGAGAAAGAAATAGCAGGTTATAATAATGGGGAAGTTCGGTGGTCTGTCAAGGATCCCTGAACACCAAGGTCCTGTTGGGCTGAATGGCCCGTTTCTGTTTCAATTTTCTGTAATATTATGTTACTGCAGTAAAGTAACAGTGGATTAGGGGGAAAATAATTTTACTTGTTGAAACTTATTTAAGGATCTAGGAGGCATTTGTGCCATTTTGTGCTCTCTTACTCACTAGCAAGCAGTAGTCATGCTTTAATCTCTCTGTCAAAAATGGATATGTATAGAACTAATGGTATTCTATCAGGTTCTCTTTTCATTTGTCATAGAAGTGAATGCTTGCTAATGATTTACATATATCAGGCTCTGAATCGTTCTTTCACAGGTCACAGTGTTGCTGTCTCGCACAGTTGGACAAACTCAACGACTTGCCGTCTGTGGAATGCTAGCTACCCTGCATATGGTCTTCCTGCTGTACTTGCACTTTGCTTACCACAGAATTGTAGAAGGTACAGAAAAAAAAAGTCCTAAGAGTGGTTAGGCTTAGTGGCTGTACTCTGTAATGTTAATATACATTGTTTGATAGTTTGATCTCAGCAAAACCTTTGAGGGAGGCATTGACTGGAGTCTTTCAACCTTTGATGAGTATTAGATTGAGTCCATCTATAAGTTCCTCATTTATGGAAAATTGCTTTCAGATTAATCAGGAATTCTGTGTGGCATTTGAGAAACTGAGACATAACTAGGCATAAGAAAAATAGGTTGATGAGGGACCAGCAACACTGATTCATGTTGAATGAAGTACCGACTGTTGCTAAGACATTGAGATTTTGAATTTTTACTGGCAATTGGGGTCTGCTTCTGCTCCATTTTCCCTGAAAAATCCAAACTATTTGCTTACATCGGGTTCATTATTGGCATTCCTATAGCATTGAGAGGAAACTGAGACATTAAAATTAACATGGGCTAATTTTTCTCATTTCTCAGCAGCTGCTGCAATTCTCAACATGAGAATTGGTTCCAGTTGACATTACAGCTATGTTTAATTATACATTGTACATCTATCAATATCTAACATCTACCTGACAATGTGGAAAGGAGAAACAGAAACCGATTTGGCAGCATCTGTGGAGAAAAAGCAGAGTTAACGTTTCGGGTCCAGTGACCCTTCTTCAGAGCACTTCCAGTTCTCTGCTTTCTCTCCACAGATGCTGTCAGACCTGTTGAGTTTTTCCAGCTATTTCTGAATTTGTTTCATTTCCAGCATCCAGAGTTCTTTGGGTTTTTTCCGTTAAAAGTTGGTTAAAAGAGCTCCGGTATATCCCATTTGCAAAAAACGAGGACAAATCCAACCCACCCAATTACTGCCCTAATAGTTTACTCTTGATTATTAATGTCAGAGACAGTGCTATCAATCAGCACTTGCAAGGGAGTAACCTGCTCACCGATGCTCAGTTTGGATTCTGAAAGCCCTGTTCACCTCAATACAGCCTTGGTAGAAGCATGGATAAAAGAGCTGAACTCCAGAGAGTGACTGCCCTTGTCATGGGAGCAGCCTTTGATTGAATTTGGCATCAAGGAGCCCCAGCAAAACTGGAGTCAATGGAAACCAGGGAAAACTTTGCTGGTTGGGGTCATACCTGGCACAAGAGAAGATGGTTATGCTGTTGGATGTCAATCATCACAGTCCAAGGACATCGTTGCAGGAGTGCCTCAGAATAGTGACCTCAGCCAAACATCTTCACCTGTTTCATCCATAACCTCCCTCCATCCTCTGACCAGAAGTGGGGATGTTCATTGACGACTGCACGATGTTCAGCACCATTCGTGACTTCCTAGATAACTAAAGCAGTCCAAGACCATACGCAACAAAGCTTAGGCACATCAGGCATGGGCTAATGACTGGCAGGTAATGCAAATATCAGACTGAGACCATCTCCAACAAGAGAGTATTTAACGATTACCTATCGATTTCTATTGACATTACCATCCACTGAATTCCCCCACTATCAACATCCTGGGATAGCCAAAAAAATAATATGGCTACAAAAGCAGGTCAAGGGCTTGGAATTTTGTGGAGACTTAACTCACTTCCTGACTGTCCTAAATCTGTTCACCATTCACAGGGCACAGTTCAGGAGTGTGATGGAATACTTTGCAATTGCCTGGATGAGTGCATCTTCACCAACACTGACCATGTTCAACCTATCCAGGGCAAAGCAGCCTGCTCGACTAGCATTCCATCTACCTCCATCGCACATTTCTATGACTCTACGACACAATGTGTCACCCTGCACAGTGTGTACTGTTTACAGGATGAAATGCAATAACTCACCAAAGCTCCTATGATAATAGCTCCCAAATCTGCAACCTTTACCCTCTAGAATTGACCAGACAAAAGAAGGAGGCATGCTTCAGGAGCAGGCAGCTGGGATCAAGGGAATCCCTGAAGGTATATAGGGGATTCAGGAGTTTACTGAAGTAGGAAATCAGGAGGGTGAAAAGGGGGCATGAGACAGTTTTGGCTGAGAAGATTAGCGTGAATCCAAAGAAATTCATTGTATTTTAAAGGGAAAAGAATAACTAGAGAGAGAATAGGACCCCTCGAGGACCAAAGTGGACATGAATGTGTGGAACCACAAGAGATGAGCGAGGTCCTCAATGAATATTTCTTCTCTGTGTTTACCATGGAGAAAGACATGAAGACTTGGGAATTTGGGGAAGTTAGTGGCGATATCTTAGGGACAGTCCAGATCAGAGTACAGGAAGTGTTGGAAGTAGTAGAATATATAAAGGTGGATAAATCTACTCGTCCTGACCAGATATATCCAAGAACCCTGCAAGAGGTGAGGGAAGAAATTGCAGGAGCCCTGGCTGATATATTTGCATCATTGTTAGCCACGGGTGAGGTCCAGGAAGACTGAAGGGTAGTGAATGTTGTGCCCTTATTCAAGAAGGGCTGCCAAGAAAAACCTGGGAATTATAGACGAGTAAGCCTGACATCTGTGGTAGGTAAGTTACTTTAGAAGATTCTGAGGGATAAGATATACATCCATTTGGAAAGACAGGGTTTGATTAGGAGTAGTCAGCATGGCTTTGTGTGTGGGAGATCATGCCTGTCTAATTTGTTAGAGTTCTTCGGTGAAGTGACCAGGAAGGTTGATGAGGGCAGGCAGTAGACGTAGTCTTTATGGATTTCAGTAAGACCCTTGAAAAGGTTCCACATGGTGGGCTGCTCTGGAAGGTTAGATAGCATGGAATCCAGGAAGAGCTGGCAAATTGTATATACAGTTGGCTTGATGGTAGGAAGCAGAGGGTAATAGTGAAAGGATGCTTATCTGACTGGAGGCCTGTGACTAGTGGTGTGCCTCAGGGGTTGGTGCTGGGCCCATTGCTGTGTGTTATCTGTATTAATGATTTGGATGAGAATGTACAAGGCATGATTATTAAGTTTGCGGATGACACTAAAATAGGCAGTGTCGTGGACAGTGAGGAAGATGATCAGAAATTGCAGCAGGATCTTGATCAGCTGGGTAAGTGGGCTGAGAAATGGCAAATGGAATTTAATATGGATAACTGTGAGGAGTTGCAATTTGGAAAGTCAAATCCATGTAGGAGTTTCATGGTGAATGGTAGGGCCTTAAGGAGTGTAGTAGAAGAGAGGGACTTCGGAGTTCAGGTGCATGGTTCTCTGAAAGTGTAGACAGGGCAGTGAAGAAGGATTTTGGCACACTGGGCTTGATCAGTCAGGATATTGAGTATAGAAGTTGGAAAGTTATGATGCAGTTGCACATGACATTGGTGAGGCTGCACTTGGAGTATTGTGTTCAGTTTTAGTCACCTTGCTGTAGGAAGGATGTTATTAAACTGGAAAGAGTGCAGAAGAAATTTACAAGCATGTTGGCAGGACTCCAGGGATTGAGTTATAGAGAGAGGTTGGACAAGCTAGGACTTTTTTCTTTTGAGTGTATGAGACTGAGGTAGGATTTTATAGAAGTGTACAAGATCATGAGAGGCACGGATCGGGTGAACGTACTGAGTCTTTTTCCCAGAGTTGGGAAATTGAGGACTGGAGGGCATCAATTTAAGCTAAGAGGGGAAAGAATACATGGGAGCTTCAGCTTCAGAGGCAACATTTTTACACAGAGGGTGGTATGCATATGGAATGAGCTGCCAGCAGAGGTGGTTGAGGTGGGTACACTAACAACATTTAAAAGGCATTTGGACAAATACATGGATAGGAAAGGTTTAGAAGAATATGGGCCAAGTGCAGGGAAATGGGCTTAACGTGGATGGACATTTTAGTTGGCATGGACCAACTTGGGCCAAAGGGCTTGTTTCCGTGCTGTCGGACTCTGACTGTAGAATGATGAGGGCAAAAGATGAATGGAAGCACCATCACCTGCAAGTTTCCTTTGTAACATCCGATCGATCAGAGATAGTTTTATTCAGAAAAGCCCTAGTATCAAATCTTCATAATCCAGCTCATTTTTTCAAGACGCATTTACTAATTAATTGAGTGGAGGATATTTAGAAGCCATTCCTTGCCTCTCCTCTGATCTGGTCTTGTCATAATTAACAATTAGAGTGCTTTCAATAATTCAAATTCCGAGGTTGATTTAAGATGTATTATCACTCTGTTTACATTTGGCCAGTTGAAGTGACATGTAGGTATAAAACGCTTCAAAGTCTGTGTCACTGTTTTAACAGGTATCCTAGATACCTTGGAGGGACCCAACGCTGGGCCAGTGAGATATCCTCGGGACATACCAGAACTTTCTGTCACTTTGTTGAACAACACAGTGAAGTCGATTGGAGCCAGCCTGCAGATGCATTGACTTGGAATTGTCTTCTGGTTCTTTCTTCCTAGCGTCAACTCTCCTAGAGACATTTGATGTTCACCAGGCTGGATGCAAGGAAAGCCTTAGGTTTTCCTGTATACTGCTTCAACAGCAGTTTGTGTTCTTTAGATAAACTCTCATCGTGGTGGTGCAGGCAGGGGCGTGGTTGTCAATTCCACTCCATCTTAATTGATCAAAATAATCTGTACATAATTGAGCTGTAACTTTTTAAAGATATATATATATCTGCGTCTGTGTATGTTTAAAATCTGATAGTATTTACGTGTTTTTCTGTGCTTGCAAGGGTTGCTGTACAGTTCATGGCCGATTAACTATAAATCACATTTTCCTGTTCAGGCAGGAAAGTTTCCACAAAACATATCTGCTCCACCTCGGGTTCATCATAAAATGTCACCCGCCCTTCATCCACAACAATCCAGTTCCCACCTCCCTCCACAAGAAACATAATCCACTTCCTCTAAAGTGTCTAATGAAGACAACGTCTCATCTAGATTTTGCTGTTAGCTCATCCAAGGTATTACAGTTATGCTAAGTACCTCGAGGCGAGGGCGGGAAGAGATGTCTTGGATTCTCTCCTGTCTGCAAGCGAGGCACCTGCATTGGATGCTGATAAGGACAGGCACTGTCTTGGCATCAGAGTCTGTTAGCCTGCTAATACCCCCTGTCAAGGCTCAAGTACACGCAATCATTGTCAGGTGAAGGACAGTCCTTGGGAGCTTGTTCACTAGGGAGTCATTGCCATTGGAGACACGGGAGAAAATTTAGAATGAAGTGAATTGTTACAAATGATGTATCATTTATTTAAAGCTCAATGCAAGATATAATAGTGGCACTGTTCTTTGTTGATACATGTTGTTACTTATTTTCAGTCTGTTTTCCAGCTCCCTCTCTCTCAGCTTATACATTAAACTGAGGCCAATCTTCGCTCTCTGGGTGTGAAATTTCCCAAAGAGTTATTTTTGAAGATGAGCAGAGGAGTTCTTCTGGTGTCCTGGCCAATAGTTATCACCTGAACAGATAATGCAATCACTTATTTTGTTGCTGTTTTAATGATCTTTGTGTAAATCAGCTACATTACAACAAAAGCACTTCATTCAATGTAAATATTTTAGGACATGCTGAGATCATGAAAGGTGCTGTATAGATTTAAATATTTTTCCTACTTGTGCAATATTTTTAATCTAAATTGTACAATAAGCTTTGGCAAGTAAATGGACTGGAGCTGGACTGGTAAACAATTAATCACAATGTAATATTTGGTACATTTCAACATGCTGCATTAGCAAGTGCTCTTGTCAGGAGCATCGTTCAAATCCATTCCAGAATTTAACATAGCTATTTGTATCTCTTTTGTCACTGCCATATTGCTGAAGTGAGCCACCACCTGTGTGCCCACTGTTGTTTATAGATCTGTTTGTGCTCCCTGTTCCCCCATCACTGCTACCATTCTCTAGCTGTTTGCACTGCTTTTCCCGTTGTTGAATATCTCCTGCATTAATACCGATAAACAGATGGGAAATGAAGGGTAAAACAAGTTATCTTATAATGATAATTAAAAGCTGTTAAAAGACAAGTATTGTAAAATTGAAAAAATTTGATTTGAAGTGGAATTTTACTTCTGTGTATCACGCTAAATAGATAACGGACAGTAAGTAGGCTTGAACTTTTGAAAGAGAACATGAACTAAGTGGTTAATTCTGTTATCTATAGCAACACATCCACAATCATCCATTCCCTCCGCTACTGATGCTCAGTAGTAGCAGTGTGTGTACTATCTATAAGATGCACTGCAGAAATTCACCAAAGATTCTTACCTTAAACAGCCTTCCAAACCCACAACCACTTCCATCTAGAACGACAAGAGCAGCAGATATATGGGAACACCACCACCTTCAAGTACCCCTCCAACCCACCCACCATCCTGACTTGGAAAAGTATCACTGTTCCTTCATTGTCACTTGGTCAAAATCCTGGAATTCCTTCTTGAATGGCAATATGGATCAACCTATAGCAGGTGAACTGCAGCAGTTCAAGGAGGCAGCTCACTACCACCTTCTCAAAGGTAACGAGGGATAGGAAAAAAAAAATGTTGGTCAGCCATTGATGTCCATGTTCCACAAATGAATTTTTAAAAATGAAGCTCAGCAGTCGTACGGTGTTACTGGTAAGCGAGGCTAGCTCAGTCATCTGAACCCAGAGTGCGGCTGGAAATACCTGATGTGAAGGTCAGCTGTGGTCGTAGTAAGTTGGTTAAGATGTTTTTTGAGGTTCTTCTAGATACTGACTGCAAAAGCTGGAAATTTGTGGGCGAAGGTCCCCAACAGAGTACTTGTCAATCAACAGTTGTTATAAATATTCGTAAATCAGAAATCTACAGAGGTGAATAAATACACAGGAGATGAAACCTGCACAATGCTCGAAAGAGGTGCAAACAAAATTATGTATTCTGGTTAGCAGGTCAGTGTGGCATTACACACAATCAATGTAAGTGCCAACACCATTCTCACCAGACAAGCCTTTATTAAAGCCTTTGACTTTTATTTCAGTTTACAGTGTAACTCCATTATCGTCTAAAGTTCAATTGACACAAACGGGGTAAGAATGATTTATACGATCTCATGGATAATTGTCAGTGTGGAACATTGACAAGAAGAGCTCATGAGACACATGGAAGTGAGAATGTTGGACGAAGCTTTACCAGAATTTGGACGTTCCAAAGATGATCTTACATTGCACAAAGCTGTGCAGTACACCAATACACTTCTCCAGCAAAATAACCATTTCATAACCAAATTTTGCTGGAATATCCTTCTCCTTACAGCATTTCTTAAATAAAGGCACAACAGTAGCCACTCTCCAGTCCTCCGGCACCTCACCCGTGGCTGTAGATGATACAAATATCTCTGCTCGGGGCATGGCAACTTCTCTAACTTCCCACAAAGTCCTGCTATACTTTTGATCAGGTCCTGGAGATTTATCCATCTTTATATTTTCTTAAGACCTCTAAAACTTCCTCTTTGAAGACTCTTTTCAATATTTATTTTGTTGAGGTCTCTCGCCTCCATTTCTTTCTCCACAGGAAAAACTGATGCGAAATATTTGTTTAGTATCTCTTCAATCTCCTGTGGTTCCACATATGGATGACCTCGTTCATTTTTAAGGTGTTCTGTTCTCTTCCTAGTTGCTTTTTTGTCCTTATTGTACTTGTAGAATCTCTTTGGATTATCCTTTACTTTATGAGCCAAGCTATCTCATATCCCCTATTTGCCCTCCTGATTTCCCTCTTAAGCATGCACCTACAACTCTTATACTATTCAAGACATTCGCTTGTTGTCTATATCTAATATATGCCTCCTTATTCTTGAGCAGAGCCTCATTATCTTCATTCATCCATTGTTCCCCACTCTTACCAGCCTTACCCTTCACTGTAACAGGAACATAATGTCTCTGAATTCTTGTTATCTCACTTTTGAAGGCCTCCCACTTGTCGGTCATCCTTTCACCTGTGAACAGTTTACTCCAATCAACTTTTGAAAGTTCCTGTCTCATACAATTTAAAATTTGCCTTACTCCAATTTAAATCTTTAACTTTTCTACAAGGCCTTTCCGTTTCAGTAAGAATAGAATAAGGATACCTGCATCAGGCTTCTACATATGAACTACAGCTCCATCTTCAACACTATAATCCCAAACCAGATAATCTCAGAACTCCAACACCTCGGTCTCGGCTCCATGCTCTGCAATTAGATCCTCAGCTTCCTGACCCACAGATCGCAATCAGTGAAAATAGACAACTGTACCTCCTTCACGATAATCCTCAATGCCAGCACCCTGCAAGGATGTGTTCTCAGCCCCCTACTGTACTCACTGTGTAGCCAAATTCCGTACAAACGCCATCTACAAGTTCGCTGACGACACCACCAAATAACAAACAATGATGAGTCAAAATACAGCAAGGAGCTAGAGTGCTTGGTGTCATGGTGCAATGATAACAATTTCTCACTCTCTCAATGTCAGCAAAACTAAAGAACTGATCATTGACTTCAGGAAGAAAGGAGGAGGACACACCAATACCTGCATCAATGGATCTGCGGTGGAGAGGGTCGAAAGCATCAAGTTCCTAAGTATGATGATGACCAATAATCAATCCTGGTCCTCCCATGTACATGCGACAGCCAATAATGCACAGCAACGCCTCTTCTTCCTCAGGAGGCTTAGGAAATTCAGCATGTCCATGAGGACCCTCACCAACTTTTACAGACGGACCACAGAAAATATTCTATGTGGATGCATAACTCCATCTACCTTACTTGTAAGACACCTTGTGTTGAAATAGATGCAGACTAATTCTTCAGAATTATCTCATTCTTTGACATGCTCTTCCCTACCTTTTCTGATTAACTTACTCCTATTTTTAAAATTCAGAACCATCCTCATCTGTCTTTCTATTCTCGCTGCGACTTGGGATGCCCCCCACGTCCGTCCCCTACTAGTTTAAAGGTTCCCGAATAGCATTGGCAAATCTCCCCACCAAGATATTGGTTCCCTTCCTGTTCAGGTGAAACCCATTCCTTTTGAACTGGACTTTTCTACCCAAGAAGAGATCCCAGTGGTCCAAAAATCTGAATGCTTGCCCACTGTAGCCATTGATTTATCTGCCCTACCTTTTTATTCCTACTCTCGCTAGCATGTGTAGAAACAGAAGGACCTTCAAGAGCATATGCATTGATTTTTGAAGACAACAGAACACTTTAGGTTGTTAGAAAAGCATCTCGTGCTTCATAAGTGTAGATACTCTGAAATATTGTGAACAAAAACAAGGAAGTTGTGCTGATTTTTTAAAAGCTCATCTGAGGCCACAAGAACTATGCATCCTGTTCCAGTCACAAAATTTTAGGAAGAGTGGGAAGGTCCTTATCCAATATTTGTAGACAATTCTCTCTCTTCAGGTGTTGTCCCTCTCCTCTTTAAATCTGCCATCATCATCTGTCCCTTCAAATGAAACAATCCTGGACCGACTCTGTCCTTAAACTACCATTCCATTTCATCCCTAACATCTCTTTCCCAACAAAATCCTTGAAAATGTATTGTTGACCCCCAGATCCATTATCATCTATATTGAATCCTCTAATCAGGTTTTCACCCCTACCACCATACCAAAGGTTCTCATCAAAGTCACAAATGATTTTAACCATCATAAACATTCCTTCCTCATCCTTCTCTATCCACCTGTAGCCTCCAACATAGTTAACCACACTATCCTTCTCCAATGCCTCTGTATTGTCACCCAGCTGGTTGGGACTGCTCTCACCTAATTCCATTCACAGCTATCTAGTAATAGCCAGAGAATCATTTTGTCATAGAATCATAAGAATGGAAACGGACCCGTCAGTTCAACTCATTTGTGCCGATCAGACATCCCAATCTGATCTAGTCCCATTTGACAGCATTTGGCCCATATCCCTCTAAACCCTTCCTATTCATATACCCATTCAGATGCCTTTTAAATGTTGTATCAGTCTCCACCACTTCCTGTGGCAGCTTGTTTCATACATGCACCACCCTCTGCTAGAAAAAGTTACCCCTCAGGTCCTTTTTAAATTTTTCTCCTCTCACCTTAAACCTATGTCCTCTAGTTTTGGACCCCTCCACCCTAGGAAAAAGACCTTGGCTATTCCACACCCCTCATAGTTTTATCAATCTGTGTAATGTCACTCCTCAGCCTCTAAAGTTCTATAGAAAAAAGCCCCAGCCTTTTCAGCCACTCCCAATAACTCAAACCCTCCAGTCCCAGCAACTTCCTGGTAAATCTTTTCTGCATCCTCTCAAGTTTAACAACATCTTTCCTACAGAAGGGCAACCAGAATTGTATGCAGTATTCTAAGAGGCCTGACTTACCATGTCTGTTCTACCTGCTCCCATACTGCACTATCAGTGGAGGTGGATACAATAGTGACATTTAAGAGGCATCTTGACAAATATATGAATAGGCAGGGAATTGAGAGATTTGGACCACATGGAGGCAAAAAGTATTTAGTTTAGAAAAGCATCATGTGTGGGTGCAGTCTCGGGTGCCCGAAGGGTCTGTACCTTTGCTGTATCATTCTTTGTTCCCTGTTCATAATCTGCTGTCTCCAAACAGATGTTCTTGGACCCCCTCCTATTTCTCATTCTTTGCTGTTCCTCACTGACAATACCAACTCCAGTTTACCAGCACCTCTCTCAACTCCTGCACTTTTGTTAAATTATTTCATTGCTCACCCAACACCCAACACTGGATGAGGGGTAACTTAAATATCGAGAACATTTAGAAAGCTGAAGCCATTGTTTTTGGTCCCCATTCCATACTCTATTCCCAACTATCAACTCCATCTTTCTCCTTAGAAACATGAGATTATCAATCTTTTTTCGACATTCGTGTCATATTTGATCTCAAGATGAGCTTCTGACTGCATATATACACCATTACTAAGATTTTCCATCTCCATAATATTGCTTGACTTTGTCCTGGTTCAGCTGATCAGCTGCTGAGGCATTCATCCCTGCCTTTGTTTCTTTGGACTAAACTAATCCAACATATTCCCTACCCTGTCTCTCACCTTTTACTTTTAGAAAACTTGAAGGCACTCAAAATGTTTTAAAAGGAGGCAATGACTTAGTGATATTGTCGCTGGATGAGTAATCCAGAAACCCAGGTAATGTTTGGGAATCTGGGCTTGCATTCCGCCATTTGAATTAAACAAAAAAAAACTGGAATTGAAAGTCTCATGATGACTGTGAAACCATTGTTGTAAAAATCCATTTGGTTCACTAATGTCCTTCTATGATTGTGGTACTAATGTGATTGACTTTTAACTGCCCTCTGAAATGACTAGCAAGCTACTCAGTTTGAGGGCAACTTGGGATGGGCAAAAAATACTGACCCAGCCAGCAAAACCAGGGCAGCATGGTGGCACAGTGGTTAGCACTGCTGTCTCACAGCACCAGGGATCAATTCCACACTTCGGTGACTGCTTGTGTGGAGTTTGCATGTTCTGCAAGGGTTTGCAAGGGCGTCTGCAAGCGTTTCTTCCAGGTGCTCTGGTTTCCTCCCACAGTCCAAAGGTGTGTAGGTTAGTTGGCTTGGCTATGTTAAATTGCCCTGTGGTGTCCAGGGAAGTGCAGGCTAGGTGGGTTAACTATGGTAAATGTGGGGTTACAGGGGTAGGATAGGATGCTGTTCAGAGGGTTGGTGCAGACCCAATGGGCCAAATGGCCTGTATCTGTACTGTAGATATTCTATGAACATCCTTTCTATGAAAAAATAAATGTTAAAAAATACCGCTGCCTATAGGACCTCTTTCCCAATATCCTGTGCTCAATGGCCTACATTAGCTCCAAGTCTAGTATCATTTTCTACTTAAAACTCTCATCCTTGTTTTTAACTCCCCCCATGTCCTTGTCCCTTCCTATCTTTGTAATCTATTCCATCAAAAAAAATTGAAGATCTCCGTGTTTCTGTAATTCTGGCCTCCTGTGTATTTCCAATTATAACTACTCC